CGCCGCCTGCGGCGCCACCTGCTCGGATGTATCCAGGTGTACCACAGGCGTGTCCTGGGTCCTATAGGGTGTGTTCTGAGCTGGGGTACAGGTTCCACCTGTCCCCTAGGTGTCCCATTATCTTCCGGGATGTTGGGGCCAGGATGAAGGATGGAGGTGGGAGAGAGTGGAGAAAAGAGATCTATTAAGTTCTGTCCTCTAAATAATTATTCAAAGGCTTCCCGATCCGCAGGCACCCACACAGATCACCCCCTGTGCACCAAAAATGAAATGGTAAGCCCAAGACTCACCTCTACCACCTGCTTTAATGGCTCCTACTTTCTTACTATCAAGCTGTTCTGTCCTTGTTGATTGTTTCCATGCAATCAAAGCTTCGAGAAGGCGGGGATTCTTTTCTTTTTTGATGCCAAGACCCAGGACTGTTTCATTGTATCCAAGCTGTTCCTGGAAAGGTGTGACCTCCTGCAACCCATTTCTAGTTCAAGACTGAAGGACTAGCAGCAGAGGGGAGTCAGGTCAGATCCTGGTAGCACCTCAAGCCCCTCAGAAGTCTATCTGAACTGTATAGTTTTAATCTCACCTAAGGCACTTACTGGCCTTGTTTGGAGGTAAACATTCCAGTGGCCCCAAACTAGCATTAAATTAAAAGCCACACTCAAGAGGCAGCTGATAGAAACACATCCACAATTTTAAGATCAAAAGAAGTAGCTTCATCTGTCAACATAATAGATTTTACAGGTGAATTTAACCATATCTGATCTGATTTATGAGGCATTGTTGTCTTCACTTGAAAGCATAGAAGAACCTAGAAAAAAAAGAATCTAGAAAAAGAACTAAGAAAAAAGATTCCTCTTTGGAAGGATGCCACAGGCTTTTCTTCAAATTAGTCCAGTGTCCAGCCACTGTGTTTTGTTTGATTGTTTTTTTGTTGGTTCTGGGGCCTGAACTCTGGGTCTGGGCGCTGTCCCTCAGCTCTTCAGCACAAGGCTAGTGCTCTACCACTTGAGCCACAGTGCCACTTCCAGCTTTGTTTTGCTTATGAACCGAACCCAGGGCCTCATGCATGCAAGGCAAGCACTCTACCACTGAGCCACCTTCCCAGCCCCCAGCCACTAATTTTTTTTAAACTACTTTCTTCTTCTGTTTTTCATAGTGCTGGGAATTGAACCTAGGACCTTGAACATGCTAGGCAAGTGTTCTACCACGGATCTACAACCCTAGCCTTGGCAGTGGGTAGGGTTGGGGGGCAGGAATACTTGTTAATCTGTCTGCTTGTGTAGCAGAATTTGGTCTAAGACTTGAAGTTGTTAGAGAACTGGGAAGAAAGCCCAGTGTGTTTGCACCTTAACAGCTGGGAAACTCTAAACATGTCTACTTAAAGACTTCATGAATATGAACAAGTTTATATCCCGCCAATACTGAAAAAAAAAAAAAGGAAAAAGAAATTCAGTTTCCTCAGGGCAAATTCAGTCAACTTCAGTGATACTGTCTGTAGTCACTTCAGGTTTCAAAACACCTCAGCCACACTGCAGCCTGTTCCTTGTCCCTCTCCTACTCAGCCCCTTCATCCATTTTTGTCTTGGTCTTGATCTGTCCCAGATTCATCTGCTCTGGGAGGCAGGCACTGTGCCCACTGCTTGCCCTCAGATGCTTACATCTGCAGGGTTCCAGGAGCTGGGCTCCACACTGCTGCCTACGTGGCCCCACCCTTTCCCCTTTGAAACTCCTGTCTACCTGAGAAAACCTGTGCCTTGTTCCCATGTCCCCTGCAGCGTCCCTGCAGGCATAAGTGCCTACTAGGTACTTGTCTCAATTCCTAGGACATTGAGAGGCTGAAATAGAATGCACATGTTGTTACTGTGTGTTTGTGTGTGTGTTCACGACAGTGGGTAGGTACTAGGGCTTTTTGTTCCTTAGCTTTTTCTGCTCAAGGCTGCTGCTGCACCACTTGAGCCACAGCTCCATTTCCAGCTCTTTAGTGGTTAATTGGAAATGAGAGTCTCATGGACTTTTTTTTGCCTAAGCTGGTTTTGAACTTCAAATCATGGATCTCAGGCTCCCGAGTAGCTAGGATTACAGGCATAGGTTTCACCTTTCTACTCTCAAATCCTCAAATTTAAAAGGGCCTCTTCAAGTACTATATGTCTGCTGAAACTCATCCAGTGATGGGGCCAGGCTCAAGGCTTTTTTAAAAATTTATTTTTATTTTTTTATTTTTTGCCAGTCCTGGGCTTGAACTCTAGGTCTGAAGGCTGTCCCTCAGCTCTTCAGCTCAAGGCTAGCACTCTACCACTTGAGCCACAGCGCCACTTCTGGCTTTTTCTGCTTATGTGGTGCTAAGGAATCGAACCCAGGGCCTCAGGCATGCAAGGCAAGCACTCTACCATTGAGCCAACTTCCCAGCCCCTGGGCTCAAGGCTTTGTGTTCTCTTGGTTACTTTCTCCTTCTGGGGTGGAGACTGCCTCTTAAGTGTGGGGATACTAGGACAGTTGTCATTGATAGTCATTGAACTCAAATGCTAAGAATTGTGATGTCTTTAATCTCAAGATCCTTTGAAATTACTGCATATTTCCACCTCTGTTTGGGGAAGAGTGCCTTATCAGAACCGTCCCTAAGTTAATGAGAAGGTCTGCCCTCTGATTTCTATTAAAATCTAAATATTGTTGGGTATTAGACAAAAGCAGAAAGACTTCAGTGTGCATTTATTGACTCTGTTATTCTTTTCTTCAGTGGGAGAGATGTACTTTGGCATGGGCGGAGTGGACAGTGTTCTGAGGACAGAGCGAGTGGACCCAAGTGTGTTTACCTTTGACCTTTGACCTTCTTCCATCTTTCTCCTTGGCCCTAGAGCAATGGCTAAAATAGCAGCTCTGATGCTATTAAATTTAGATTTTTATTATTATTATAAAGGTGAAGTACAGAGGAGAACATAAGTAACATGTTACAGTCACATAAGTCAGGTAAAGAGTGCATTTCTTTCTGAACAATGCCATCTCTTCCCTCACTGTCTCCCAGTGTTTCCCTTCCATCCCCACCCACAATTTGTATAGTACATTTCCACGTAGTGTCTAGTGAGCACTATGGCTGCATTTGTTCACCCTTTATCCCTTCATTTCTGTGCTCCCCTTACCCTCTCCCCAAGACATATAAATGAACCAACAAGACACAGAGAGAAAAAAATTATTGTTTCCATTTCCTGAAATTCATTTTGATAAATATTATTTTATATGATCAGCAGCATAGAGGTAATTGTGATTTTGTGTTCGTCTCCTAAGAGTATCTGGTGCTGGTTTTTAAGGGCTGGGTGGTGAGCTTGAGTGGCCAAAGACAAGGGTAGGAGGGAGTGATTAAAAACAAATGCAAGGTGGGCACTGGTGACTCACACCTGTAATCCTAGCTACGCTGCAGGCTGATATCTGAAGATCTCAGTTTGAAGCCAGCCTTGGCAGGACTCTTATTTTCAATTAACCACTAAAAGTCTGAAAATGGAACTCTGGCTCAAGTGGTAGAGTGCTCGCCTTGAGTGGAAAATACGCAGGAACAGTACCTAGGTCCTGAATTCAAGCCCCAGGACCAGCACAAACAGGAATGAACACACACAATGGGTGCTTCACAAGGGGCACATGCTCCTATTCCATCTCAGCTCGGCTCTACTCAGGGGTCCCCTGGGTCTGCTCTGTGTTCTGCATCATCGCACATCCCTATGGCCAGGTCCCTGAGCTCCCAGGCCCTCCCAGACTTCTGGTCAAAGCCAGAGCTCTCCAATGGAGTCAGGCCCTCGTTTCCGCTGTTGGCGCCAGCATTGGAGAGCCTGGGAATAGTGTTTCTTGTTGTGCCTGCTGCCCTGGGCCCAATTCTAGCACTGGTATTGGGCTCACTGGACAATGCCAGAGTAGGTGTTGATGGGCATTTGAAGAGGCTTGGACGTGGTTTCAGTCTGTTCCATTGCCTTCTGCTCTTCTGGATTGGGCCATGGCGTCTTGGATCTCTGAGACCTGGAACATGGCTCTGGGCAGGGATCAACCTCAAATCTGTGGTGGGGACAGACCAGCTCAGAGGGCCTATCTGAGGGACCGGAGATATCCCACACATTTGAAGGGTATAGAAGAGGGTGGCATGCAGAAGGAAGAGGAAAATCAAAAGGAAAAAGAATATAGGGAGCCTGGGCTCCCCAGAGGAGGAGACGGGTTTCTGTGTCTATCTGTCTCTCTTAACATACTTCCTAGTTAAAGCCTGCAAGGGTCCTATTAATTGACACAGCTGCTCCAGGGTGCTGCCTTGGTGGAAGCCCCGCCCCCCTCCAGTGCCAGCACGAGGGGGTTGGGTCAGGAGGACTGCAGGCTGAGTGTACCCCTCAGCATCTCCCCAGTGCCAGCCTCTGCTACCTAGATTCAAGTCATCAGGACCTCTGTCTGGTGACAGGTTCCACCACTGATAAAGTATCCTTGTTTGTGCCATGAAGTCTGGAGCCCTGGCTGGACCGGGTGGGGGGGGGGAAAATGGAGGGGGAGGGGAAGGGGGAGGGTGGCAGGCCCAGCTCACCTAACCACGTCCTTGAATGTGCGCTGATTGTCCTTGTCCAACCACAGCATCAGTGGCCTGTGGTCCTGGCTCTGGACCTGGATACTGGAGGTCCGGAAGGTGTTTGTCGCCATCTACACACAGATATGACGCGTCCATGTGTCGCCCTTGCTCAGGGCAGTTGGCCCTGTCCATTCCTTCCACCCTAGGTCTGTTGTTTCTTCTGTACAGACCAAGGGCTCCCCTGCTTGCTTCTCGGACATGATTCTTAGCAGTAATAATCCTGCCTCTACTCTCTCCCTGTTGTCATGGCCTGTGGCTGCTTCTCCCAGCCAGAATGGACAGTGCATGTTGGACTACTATGAATGGTAGTAGTACTTTAGCAGTACTTCTACATGACCAACTGGATGCCTGGGAATATGCACTTCTCAGCATTAAATTACATAAACAATTTCTTTCCCTCTTTTGTTGGTCGTGAGGCTTGAACTCAGGGCTTGGGTGCTGTTGCTAAGTTCTTTTACTCAAGGCTAGTGCACTACCACTTTGAGCCCCAGCTCCACTTCTGGTTCTCTGGTGGTTTGTCGGAGATAAGAGTCTCACAGATTTTCCTGTCTAGGCTGTCTTTGAACCATGATCCTCAGATCTCAGCCTCCTGAGTAGCTAGGATTACAGACATGAATCATCAATGGGGCCCTCCCTTCTACACTATTTTTTTTTTTTTGGCACTAGCACTAGAGCTTGAAGTCAAGGCCTTCTGCTCTCCTGCTCAAGGCTGGTGCTCTGCCACTTGAGCCACACCTCTACTTCTAACTTTTTGGTAATTAACAGGAAATAAGTCTGCCTGGGCTGGCTCTGAAGCTGGATTCTCAGATCTCCTGGGTGGCAAGGATTACAGGAAAGAGCCACTAATGCCCAACAAAGACTGCCATTCTTTAGTGGTCTGGCTGCTGTGTGGTACCCAAGGATGCTGGGGGCATTTGTGATGATCAGGGGACATGTCACAGGTCCTCAAATGGTCCTTGGGTGGAGGACTGGGCCTTGACTCTGATTGCTTTACGTAGGTAGCCTCATTGGTGCTCTGTATTTGAAACACAGTTTGGAGGGCAGATTCTTTCTGATTGGACGCTTCATTTCCATAGCGAAGCGTGCCCTCTCCTGTCAGGCCTTTCCCTCATGCAGGCTCCCTGTCACCTGCTGGCCTGGCTCCCATCCACCCGTGCCCTGTACCTCCCGTTGGAACCTACCGAGAAGGACCTTCCCGCCAGGTGACAGGACTTGACAACCTCCGCCACGCTCACATTCAGACACATGTGGTCCATTGCAGACGCAGCCACTGGGGGGCAATGGGGGAACCCCAAAACTGAATTAGGTAGGGGGACTGGGAGTGAGACTCCTGGGAAGTGTCCATTGGAGATTCTGGGTCCTAAGAAGACCATCCCAAACCCAGCTCAGCCCTCTATCTCCCCACTTCCCAATTCTTTCTTGAGCTGTTGCACTTGCTTCCCCATGACCCAGCTCCCTGGAGAATCAGCTAGGTGTCTGTCTCCTCAGACCAGGCAGCCATCATTGGCCCCAACTCCTCCCTGCAGCTCTGTCCTTTATCCCCTGCCCCCCTTACCAAAGGAAGAATGTTCGGTTGAATTCCTCTTTAGCCACAGACACCATGAGAATAGAAGGAATAGCTAGCCAGAAGCATCATGGCAAGGAGAGACCTGCTTCACACTTTCCTTTGATTGTGGTGTGGTGTGGTGTGTGTGTGTGTGTGTGTGTGTGTGTGTGTGTGTGTGTGTGTGTGTGTGTGTAGATCAAACCCTGGACTTTAGCTTTCTTACTCAAGGTTAGCACTCTACCACTTGAGCCATAGCTCCACTTTTGCTTTAGTTTTTTTTCTTTTTTCCCCCTTTTAAAAAAATTTGGATAATTGGAAATAAGACTTTCTTGCCCTGGCTGGCTTCAAACTGAGATTTTCATATTGCAGTTTCCTGAGTAGTTAAGGTTATAGGTGTGAGCCACCAGTGCCTGGTTCCGTTGGCTTAAACATTTTTTTTTTTTTACTTAGCTGTAGTGTTGAACCCAGGGACCCTCCCATGAGAGGCAAGTCTGAATCCCATCCCTATACCTCCACCAACATGCTCATAATGACTGTGTGGCTGCTCCCAGGCCCAGTCCCTCCCTCCGGCTAAAGGAGTTGTGCATTTCCCCCTATTAGGGGGACTCTGATATCATCAGACCTGATCTGATAGGGTTTGGGTGTAGGGGATGAGTAGGTACCTTGGGAAGAAGATACAAGCAAAAATTCAGATTTAAATATAAGGGCCAAGATTACACTCTATGTCATAAATGAGTATCGAGTCTGTTTTCAGAAATTTCTCTGAAAATGTAGAGAAGTTACAAGCAACTCTTGCAAGGTCACCAGGTATCAGATGGCAAAGCCGGAGTTCAGTCTCTACCCATCCAGCTCTGACTCTTGTTAATCCATCACCTGCACCTACCTCTAAGCTAGGAGCCACTATATATCTCCCATGTGTTTATGGACCACAAGGAAAGAATGTCTGTGAATGAGTTTCACACGTCACTCACAAATCTAGCTCGACTGGAGCTCTGGTGCCTTGTAAGAACATACATGTGGCTTGGCACCAGTGGCCTGTAATCTTAGCCACACAGGAGTCTGCAATCTGGAGAATCAAGGTTCAAAGCCAGCCTAAGCTGAAAAGTTCACAAGACTCTTATCTCCAATTGACCTGCAAAAAGCGGAACAAGTGACAGGGCACCAGACTTAAGTGCACACGGCCCTTGTACCATCAACATAAACAAACAGATACAAATGCAGGAGGCTGAGGTAGGAGGATGTCAAGTTTGAGGCCAACCTGGGCTATCTGGGGAGTTACTGTCTCAACCAAACAAAAGAGCACAAATTCAGTAGAGACAGATGACTGGTACTGAGGCTGAACTTAGGGTCTGGGTGCTGTCAGCATTTTTGCTCAAGGCTAGTGCTCTACCACGTGAGCCTCACATCCACTCTTTGGCGGTTAATTGGAGATAAGAGTTTCACCAACTTTCTTGATGAGGCTGGTTGCCAGCCTTAATCCTCAGCTCTCAGCCTCTTGAGTAGCTAGGATTACAGGTGTTAGACATCTGCCCCTGACTGGGCGAACTTTTTTTAAAATCTCCCCGCCGCCCACCCGCCCAGTCCTGGAGCTTGAACCCAGGGCCTAGGCACTGTCCCTGAGCTTCTTTTGCTCAAGGCTAGCACTCTATCACTTGAGCCACAGCACCACTTCAGGCCTTTTCTGTTTGTTGGTTCTGTGGAATGGAACCCAGGGCTTCATGCATACTAGGCAAGCCCTCTACCACTAAGCCACATTCCCAGCCCATGGGTGAATGGTCTTGTTGGTTCTGTGCTCATGTCTCTAAAGTCATGTGTAAGATTGGATAGTGGGGAACAGCAGAGCTTTGACAGTACAGGGGCCAGCTTTGATCCTTCCACAGAGTGGCCTTGTAAGTTCCTCCAAAGAAACAGTTTCATTGCTTAGCATGTGCTCAGAGGAGTTCATCCATAGACACAGCATTGCCTAGCCCCTGGCAAACAGGTGCCATGCTTCGTACTCCACATTGCTGCCCTTTTAGAGATTGCACAGCGAGAGGTAACCTTTCTGTGTAGTACTGGGGTTTGAACTTGGGGTCTTTGTTTGCTAGGCAGGTGCTCTAATGACTATCTGCTCTAAAGTGATGTCTTCTAATTTCCCAGGTGCAGAGGCCCAGACCTGAGGCGCAGGCCAGAATTCGGGTTACTAACAATGAACCCCTAAAGTGCCAAGGCCCTGCTTCAGTCAGGGAAGCCCAGGGCTCGGCTTGTCCAAGCTGGAGTTCTGTGACCAGATGTGCGCCCCCCCCTTCAGCACACTCCCTCTTCAGTCCTTTTCCTCTCTCCATAACTTCCCCCTTCTCAGCCCTTCTCTCTTTCTCTTTGCTCTGCACCCCCAGCTCCTTACCTTCAGTGTCACTGGCCGGAATGGCCTTCAGGACCAGCCCAGTGGCCCTAAGGGAGATGGCCACCTCTTGGTGACGGTGGCTGAGCAGGGCCTGGGGGGGGGTAGGGGTGGGGGTTAAGGGACAGGTGGGGTCCAAGTTGTGTCTCTCTCTCCCTGCACCCTTATACTCCCAGTCTGGCCTCTCTTATGTTTCCGCCTGCCCTCAGCCCTGCCTGGGGCACTGTCCTGAATGACCCAGGGATAGAGGCATGGAGTCTGCCTAGTTTACCTACTTCCAGCCCCAGGTTCCAGCCCCAGTGGGATTAGTTGAGGCATTTGCTCAGCTCTTGAGAGAGATTTGGAGCAGGGGGTCCTTAAGTTCCATCCTCTCTTTCCTTAAGTTCCATTATGGCCTTGTTGACACAGAAGGTCCACTTTGACCCCTTCACCCCCACTTTGTCCCTGAAAAACCCTCCCACGGCTGAAAAACTGCTAACAGCTGTAAGGAGCCGGGCACCGACAGCTCATGCCTGTAATCCCAGCTACTCCAGAAGATGAGATCTGAGGATCGCAGTTCAAAGCCAGCCCAGGCAGACAAATTTGAGAGATTCTTTATCTCCAATGAACCAGCAAAAAGCCGTAAGTGGGGGGTGAGGCTCAAGTGGTAGAGTACCAGCCTTTAGTGAAAAAAGAATCACACCAGACTAAAAAAGACCTTTAGCTCCTTCAGCCCCTCCAGGTCCGTGAAGCCACTTCTGCTAGCTGAACCCCTGAACCCTCCTGACCACAGCCAAGTCACTGACCTTCTGGTAGCACAAGGAGAGCTCAGCACCCAAGCTCTCTGCTGCCCCTCTCCTCCGGGGTGATGCACCCTCTGTGAAGGGGGAAGAGATGAGAGGTACAAGCCGAGGGGTGAGGTCCCCTGTTCCCCTCCACGCACACAGAGGCCAAGCTGAGCCCTGGATGCTAAGCTAGCACTCAGGGGGACCAGGCTGGCTTCTGGGCTTGGGGAGCTCCAGGGAGGGAGACAAGGGCAGCTCTGACATCGGCCAGGCACAGGGTTGAGCCGGCTGGGGGACAAGGTGGGAGAGTTCCAGGGAATCTGAGCCCATGCTTTGGGAAGCAGGGGCCACTGTTCACCTTTGGGGGGTTTGGGCTCATGGATCTTCATCTTCAGCTCTGTGAGGAAAATGTCTTCTGTAGGTTCTTGGCTCAGATCACTGAAGATCTGGAAAGAGGAAGGGGTAGGAAGGGAGGAAGGAGGATTGGGGAAGGATGGCTCACTGGCCCAGATCCATCTCTGCCTCTGCCTCACACCCATGCTCGAGTCTTTATGGTATTTAGTTATTTTTTGTGCTGATACTAAGGCTTGAACTCGAGTCTCATGCTTGCTTAGCTTCTTCTCTGCTCAAGGATGGCCCTCTACCACTTGAATCACATCTCCTTCTGGCTTTTTACTGGTTTATTGGAGATAAGTATATCACAGACTTTCCTGCCTGGGCTGGCTTTGAACTATGATTCTCAGATCTCAGTCTCCTGAGTAGCTAGGATTACAGTATGAGCCATGGGTGGTGCCTGGCCATGCTAGATTCTGAGTGGAATCCATCCACCACTAAAGAAATATATAATATATTATAACATTATATGATATATAATATTATAGCATGTAATATGCTATAATTATATAAAATATTATATAACATCTATCATGTAATACATAGTATATATATTATATAATATATAATCTTATATAACATATAATTGTTATATAATATATTATAATATATTACATAATTACATATGCATGTATAATATGTTATATTATCATATATAATATAATATATTCATAATTAACATACATATTATATACATATAATATAGATGATCTATATTATATAGTATAATGTACATATAATTTTGTAATATATATTTTATTATACATATATTTTATAATTATGTTGTTATAATAATATTATATAGTATATAATATATTACATTCTTATAATAATACATTATTGTATACTATATTACATTATTATAATATATAATATTATATGTTACATAAATATATATATCCATCAGCTAAATAAGAGATAACCACCTTTTGGTCAATAACAGAGCACAAACACAATATGCATATGTATATTTTATATATATATATATATATATATATATATAAATAAAATTGACCATGATCCCATAGTTTGTAATGGAGCTGAAAATTCTCTCTACCTAACGATGTCATAGCTATTGCAAAGCCAATGCACAGCATTCTACTTAAATTCTTGTGATGGTTCTGGTGGAAACACACACACCCAGGTAAAGGGAGAGCACACACAATTATGTATCTCTACCTGACCATGAGAACACTTGTGCATTTACTGACTGTACATCTGATCAGTGCTCTATTGTGTGCTCCTTTAATGTATATAAGAGTAGTTGAGCTGGGTGTGAATGACTCATGCCTGTCATCAGGAGGTTGAGATCTGAGGATTATGGTTCAAAGCCAACCTGAGCAGAAAATTCTGTGAGACTCTCACTTCCAGTTAACCAGCAAAAAGCTGAAGTGGAGGCATGGCCCAAGTGATAGAGTGCCAGCCTTGAGTGAAAAAGCCAAACGAGAGAGCTCAAGGGCTTGAGTTTAAGCCCTAGCACTGGGGTGGGGGGGAATAGTTTTGGACTAATGGGAATTTGTGGCTAGAGATTGGAAATGAGTTTAGAGCGACCTCTCTTGGATCCTCATTCTTCTGCATGGATCTGAGTCTTAGATCTTATTGATGGTCAGATCCATCCAGCTACTGAGCAAAGCATTATCACCTAGATCGTGGAGGTGTGTCTGTGACTTGCAGCCTGGTGATCCCTGTTCCCCATAGCTAAGGGATCCAGTTGGTGGTCTTGTGGTCCTGACATGGTACTCCAAGAGCCCCACGTGGGAAGCATGGGAGACTTACCTTGACCCTGTAGATCTGGAAATAGATAGGTTGGGTACCCATGCGAACATAGTATGTGATGGCGTCCAGGATGAAGGGATCAACTGTTTGGGATGTATCCAGGCAGGGAGGCTGTGAGGGAGATGGAGAATGTCTTCAGCAGATTTTTATCCAGACTACCAATAAGGCACCATTTCCCTAAGAGCCTTCACATATTCTCCACAATGCACAGCCCCAGCTGGTCCTTCCAATACCCCAATCCTTCCTGACCACTTGATTTCTACTTCTGATCAGAATGTATCTGCACAGAGCTCCAGCTCCCCAAGGAACCTGATTCATTTCCATTGGACAAGGACATATTGAACAATTTAAAGGTGCAGATCACTGTACTGGATACATATTAATTGGAGATAAGAGCCTCACTGACTTTCCTGCCCAGCCTGGCTTCAAACTGTGATCCTCAGGTCTCAGCCTCCTGTGTAGATAGGATGACAGATGTGAGCCACTGGCCCTTTGCATATTCAAACTTTTTGAGCACTGAGTTTCTTACAAGGGTAAATAATATGAACTGATGTCTCTCTCAGTTCTATCAGTCTCTGGATCTGTTTATTAAAAATCAATCAGCTGGGTGTGATGGCTTGTGCCTGTAATCCCAGCTTGTTGGGAGGCTGAGGTAGGAAGATCATTAGTTCAAGTCAAACATAGTGGACAACATAGTGAGTCCCTGTATATAAAATAAATAAATAAATATGTAAATAAATAAAAACTAATAATGTTTGTGTTTTATTGGGACTGGACTTAATGCTTTATCCCCCATGGCTTTCACAGATTCCCATGACTATAACCCATAATAACTGAGATCTTTAGGACAAACAGAAAAACATTGACATAGAATGTAATGCAAATTGAATATCCCTTCTCTGGAATGTGTAGGACCAGAAAACAAAAGAATATCTCTGATTTCAGATTTTAGACTATTTTCATGAGGTATCTTGGCAATGGGACTCATGTTTAATAAATGTGAAATTTATTTTGTTGGATACACCCCTCACTCTGTAAGCTAAAGGCAACTTCATATGATACTTGAACATGCATGTGCATGCTCTGACTAGAACCTGCCACCTGGGACCATGGTGATGTTTGCCACTTCTGGTGTTGTGGTGGTGTGAAGGAGTTTTGGATGTCAGGGGCATTTCAGATTTGGGAGTCTTGAATGAGAGTGGCCAACCTATAATCTCAGAGTTTATCTCATTCAGGCTCTATCTGGTGCTATGAAATGTCTCTGATTCTCGCATTATTCCTTTCACACTCACACCAGTGAATGATGGACTTGCTCTCATAGTGTCATCACTGCCCACACACTTCCAGTTTCTCCATGTGGAAGCTGCGTTTGGGATAAGCACCAGGGCCATAGGGCCATATTAATTGCTAATTACAGGAGGAAAGATAGAAGAAAAACCTCCAAAATGTTATCTATGGAGTCCTCTGGGGCTCAAGGAAAAAAGTATTTTAATACCCAGCTAAACAGCCCTTCATATACATGCAATGATATCCCTAGATAAGGTATAAATCAGAAGACATGTGCATACCAAAATACTGCTTTGAATTAAAAACATAAGAAGGCCTCCTAACCAATCAAATATAAAGCAAAGTGAAGAAGAGCTCAGTACAGTAGTTAAAGAACAAATGGTTAGGCAGGGTGTTAGTAGCTCATGCCTGTAATCCTAGCTTCTAAGGAGGCTAAGACATGGAGGATGGAAAGCTTGAATCCAGCCTGGAGCCCAAAATTTCCATCTCTACTCACCAGCAAAGAGCTAGACTGGAGGTGTGGTTCAGATGGTAGAGCACCAGCTGCTAGCAAGAAAGCTGAATAAGTGAGAGGCCTTGAATTTGAACCCTGGTACTGACAATAAATACTGTGTTCTTTAACTATTTCTGAAAGCAAAAATAAGTATGTGCAAATCTATAGTTACCTTTTCTACTATTCATAGGTTCTGCCATTGACCTATAAAACCTGAAGAATGGGTTTAGGAAAAAATGGGCAGATACTAATATGATGAAAATCACACCATTATACTGAAAGATATAAAAGAAAGACTTCCATAAATGAAGAGCTACAGTGTGTTCCAAAAGAATAAAAGATGCTAATTCTTGGCCGGGCACTGGTGGCTCATGCCTATAATCCTAGTTCCTCAGGAGGTTGAGATCTGAGGATCGTGGTTCAAAGCCAGCCCAGGCCAAAAAGTCTGTGAGATGCTTATCTCCATTTAATCACCAGAAAACCAGAAGTGGAGCTGTGGCTCAAGTGGTAGAGCGCTTGCCTTGAGGAGAAATAGCTCAGAGACAGTGCCTAGGCTCTGAGTTCAAGCCCCAGGTCTGACAAAAAAAAAGTGAATTCTCCAGGATTTGATTGTAATTCTACTGTGATTCTCAAAATCCCAACAGAACTTAAAACCCAAAACAAAACATGAAAGACAATTCTACAGTTTATCAGGAAGGAAAAGAATTGGCATGTTCTGGTAAGTTTTGTAAAAGAAGGATAATCATAGAAGCTAACCCTGGCAAATATTAGAATACAAAAGGGCTGATTTCCACAGTATTGCCCAGATCCAGGAAAGAGAATGGGTGTCCAGAAATAAACTCAGGCAGATGTAAGAATTTAGTCAATGATAAACACAATATGGCACGTGAAAAAGGCCAGGAGACGAATGCAATAAATAGCTTCAGGACAAACTGGCTACACCTTTGGAGAAAAAAAGCAAAATGGCCTATCTTACATGAAACACTAAAATTAACTGCAGATGGGCTGATTTGCTCAACATAAAATTCAAGGCATTGGAAGTGTTTGAGCAAATTAACAGTGAATATTTAATTTTGGAGTGGGGGGGAGGACTTTCAAAGCAAGACTCTGAAAGCAGAAATCAAAAAGAAGAAACGTGCTACGTGCTACGTCTGAGGACATTACACTCTTTAAGTCAACAAGAAAAGCCAAACACACAAATACAGAAAATGCCAGGCACCAGTAGCGCAGGGCCCTAATCCTAGCTATTCAGGACATTGAGATTTACAGGATCAAGGCTTTAGGCAACCTTGGGCTGAAAAGTCCATGAGATTGTCTATAATCTCCAATTCAACTAGCAAAAAGCTGTGCAGAAGGTGAGGCTCAAGTAGTAAAGCACCATGCATGAGTGGAAAAAGCTGAGCGAGAGAGCAGGAGGCCCTGAGTTCAAGCCTTGGTACTGACACACACACAAAAATGAATACAATGTATAGGTAAATTACAAAGTAGACAAAAAGCATCAGCAATGTGTGTGTATCTGTGACTAGCTAAAGGCCCTTATCGAGGCAGCTGTGGCTGAAGGGCTTCAGTGCTGTGTAGCAGAGAATATGGCCTGGAGCCAGGCTGCCCTGTTCTTAGGGCGCAGTGCAGCTCAGCTCATTTTGTTACTTGGGGCATGTTGTCAGTCTCTTTTTGCAGCTGCTTGCTCTGCACAAAGGGGCTGTGTGGACAACAGCAGCAGGTGTTAGAGGACCTGCCCAGGAACCTAGCAAAGAAATAAAGGCATGAATCCCTTCTCAGAAGTGCTTTATGCCAGGCACTGGGGCTCATTAGCCACTCAGGAGGCTGAGATCTGAGATCATGATTCCAAGCCAGCAGGAAAGTCTGTGAGACCCTTTATTTTCAATCAACCACCAAAAAGCCAGAAGTAGAGCTGTGGCTCAAGTGGTAGAGCACCAGCCTTGATCAAAACAGCTAAGGGACAGTGGCTAGGCTCTGAGTACAAGCCCCAGTACCAGCGTGCACACACACACACACACACACACACACACACACACACACACACACACACACGGTGTCTGGATCAGTGCTGGGTACATAGTAAATGCTAAGGAAACCAGCTGGGCGCTACCAGCAAATGATCCTAGGGAGGTCCCAGAAAACCTCCCTCTGACTGCACATCTAGAAAAGATGGGTTTACTCCATCCTTCCCACAGACTCCAGAGAAGGCTCAGAAAGTGCTCACTCCTAGGAAGTCCAAGTACTGGCTGCACAGTCCTCCCGTGGCACGCTCTCCCCTCTCCGCCTTGGGGCTGATTCTTGAAGTCAATATCTAAAAAGGGACCCCCCCAGCCCAACCTCACTTCTCTCCCCACTGGGTTTCTCGTATCCCCATCTGTGCAGCCCCCATGTTGCCCTCCCTCTCTCCTTCCCTCCCTTTCTGCATCCTCAGAGCCCATACCATTTCAGCCAGCTTGTGGATGGCGGGACACAGGGTGTTGACCGTGCTCTGGTACCAGGGGTCTGCTCGGCCCAGGAATGTGGCCAGGTCTCCCAGCTCTGGCTGCCTGGATGCTGTGGGATCCTGGGGACAAGAGAATGGGTTCATCCCTCAGGGCCTGCCTCTTGGCCTGGGGTCCCCCGTTCCCCAGCCTGTGCTTTGTGAGGGAAGCCGGTCTTTAACCACTCAGGGCCTTTGCTTGCACACTGTATCTGACTAATTAGTATCTGCTTCGTGAACTCAGGGGCGGGGAGATGGTTTTGGCTGAGGATCCCTTGTCAGGGATGATTGAAAAATAATCCTTGGCCCTGGCAGGGGAGAGACTTCCTTCCATTCTTTTCTTTTCCTTTCTTTTCTTTTTGGTGGCTGTTGTGGGGGCTACTGGGGCTTGAACTCAAGGCCTGATGTTCTCAGTTAGCTTTGTCTCTTAAGGCTGGTACTCTATCACTTGAGCCACACCTCCCCTTCCAACTTTTTGCTGGTTAATTGGAGACAAGAATCACATGGGCTTTTCTGGCCTCAATGGTTTTGAATCTCAACCCTTGGGTCTCAGCTTCCTGAGTGGTTAGGATTGCAGGTGTGAGTCAACATTATCCAGTTTTTTCCTGCTTTTATGTGAATCCCTGAAAGTGTGTGTGTGAAAGACATGGAGAGGGGAGAGAGAGGAGGAGAGGGAGGGAAGGAAATAGGAACAGACAGGCAGGCAGAGAGAAAGAAAAAGAGAGAAAGAAAGAAAGGAGGGAAGGAAGAAAGAGAAGGGAGGGAGAGAAAGAGAAGAGCAAAGAGGGGCAGAAAAGACCTATGTTTAAGGAGAAGCTCAATAATACTCTATTACAAAACCAAGCTGGTCAGGTGGCTCATGCCTATAATCCTAGCTACTCCTGATGCTTCAGTCCAGCAGATCACAGTTCTAGCCAGCCCAGGCAGGAAACTCCATCCACGAGAGTCCATCTCCAAAATAAACAGCAAAAAGCAGGGCTAGAGGTGTGGCTCAAGTAGCAGCCTGGCAGCCAAGGAAGAAAACAGAGCAAGTGCCAAGCCCTGGCACTTTCAAACTCTGATACTGGCAAAAAAACGAATACAAAACCAATTCAAACACAGCAGTGGGTACCTTGTGGGTGGGCTTGTGTTGTGAGAGAACCTGTCTTGGCCACTTGTGGCCCCCAGAAGACCCCTGAAGCCTCTCCCAGCTCTGCATTTGAGCGGTAATGACTCTGGCCCCTGAGAATAGGGCTGAGGCTGCTGGAGAGTCCTGGCCCCTCCCTGCTCCGCCCCCCCTCCGCCCCTTGCCCCTCCCCTGTCCAGTCACCTGCGGGGCCAGCACTGGGATGTAGTAGAGCTGGAGGCTGAGTCTGGGGGTGAGGCAGAATTTCTGTGACTCCTGTTTCCTGGCAAGTTGTAAAAAAGTACAGTCAGAGCGGAATGGGGTAGCAGGCTGACAGCGCGAAGGCTGTGAATTTTTTTTCTCTCATTCTCTATTTTCCTTCTTCCTTCGTCCCTTCCTCCATCCCTCCCTCCTTCTCTCCTTCCTTCCTTCCCTCCTTCCTTCTTTCCTTCCTTCCTTTCTCCCTCCCTTCCTCCCATCCTTTCTTCCTCCTCCTCCTCCTCTTCTTCTTCTTCTTCCTCCTCCTTTTCTTCTTCTCTTCTTCTTCCCCTTCCCCTTCCTCTTCCCCCTCCTCCTCCTCTTCTTCTTTCTCTTCTTCCTCTTCCCCCCTCCCCCTCCCCCCTCCTCCTCCTCTTCTTCTTCTTCCTTCTCCTCCTTTTCTTCTTCTTCTCTTCTTCCCTTTCCCCTTCTCTTCCCCCTCCTCTTCTTCTTTCTCCTCTTCCTCCTCTCTTCTTCTTCTTCCTCCTCCTTTTCTTCTTCTTCTCTTCTTCTTCCCCTTCCCCTTCCTCTTCCCCCTCCTTCTCTTCTTTCTCCTCCTCCTCCTCCTCCTC